ATTATAGAGAGGGTTTATTTCTTATGTTCTACTAAGCAAAATGGCAATGGGGTGATTTGGGAAAGTGTGACTATAGAGGAAGTGACTATAGACAGTAGTTGACTATATATATATATATATATTGTCACTCATGGTTAAAATGCACTGCACACACTTGATTTGAATCTGAAATTTTTCATGGCATTTCTTTTAACAAAATTTATATTGTTAAAAGGTCTACTTTTCCATATACATATATATTTTATGCTTCACTGATTTAAACTCTAGGATTCCCATATATAATACATGGAAAATAAGCTCAAAAAGATTTCAAGAGAAAGGCTGCCAAGTTATTATTATGTGGATAATCACGAAAAAATATTGATAAAATTGCATTCACTTTATTTGCTCTATTTATTGTAAAAATTAATTAAAAAATCAAATCTATCTATGGTTACATACTAGTGTTTACGCTATGAATTCTCCATATATCTAAATTATCTAAACTACAACATTAATTATGACCCAGTTTTATTGTTAACACATTCTGGATAGAATAAAAACATTTATACGAAGAATGCAATCCTCAATGTGTTGTCCATTATCTGGACTTATCTCTAGAGAAGAAGGTTATTGCCTGTTTTGTAGTGTTAATAAATTTCTCGGAAATCTGTACGAAAGAGTGGTCATAGGTTTGTAGGCCCAGAAGGCGGTTAATTGGAATGCATTGTCGCAAATAAAGTACTCATACCTTAATTGCGCGTTCGGAGCTTTCGACTAAAATAAAGAATATTAATCACTAGGAAACGGGAACCGTTGCGAGTCAGGTGCGAAAATTTAATCAGACTTATATCCGCCAATTTTAATATTTTAAATATTTATATTAATATTTTACATGAGATAATAATTTGATTGAAACCCAGTATGCAAATATTACCTTAACTATGCAATTCGTGAATTTGAATTCCCAGAAAAATACTCCGATGTACTATACTACACAGTCACCTTCGACAAGATGAAGTTATCGGGCTGGACCAAAATGTTCATATTATTGAAAGATCATAACAACGAGAAATCTTGTTATATTATAACTGACTTGATTCCGGGAAAAAGCATCATAATCATATTAGGCCAACTGTATCTTATCGAAGGCATCTCACTATATGTGAACGTCATAACCATATGTACACATAATGACTATATTAACATGTGAACGTAATAATTATATAGATACCAAAGCTCTTGTGAATGTTAGACATAAACCTTCTTTGAGGTCTGCCATAGTTCTATTAATCGTATGAATTTATTTACTATCTAATTAGTATTAGATAATAATAATGACATCGAAACCATAGATTATTAATTTTGGACAAGATAAAGGCTGGCCAGAATTATGAAGCTAAATAATTAATACTTTTTTGCAAGCTTCTTCAATTTTATCAGCAGAATATTGATGTGGAATTTGGATCAATGCAGGAGGCTTTGTTATAATTTCGATAGGAATTTGAGAACACAGATGACAGCAACTCACCGAAGCGGTGACTTTTTTTGGCTTTTTGCTAAAAGGAAAAAATTTTGCATAATCGTTCAAGGAATGTTACTTTATTGTCCGCTATTACTGTTAGTTCTCGCTTTAAAATTCGGATACTTTGTCACGTATAGTCATAGCAATAGTGCATCGGATAATTTTCTGAGAATTGTCGAAAACGTGACTTTTCCGCAGATGTATTTTTCCCAGCATCGCCATCAAAAATTTACGGACACGTGATTACTTCTATATGTAAGATTTGAGTTTGACATAAAATTAAATTTTGCTTCTATAATTTCACTCACTGCAGTCATGATCCTGGAGTAGTTTAATTTCATCCACTGAAGTCATGTGTCCGTGGGTATCAAAAAAGAAACTAAAATTTGGTGTGCTTGCTTAGTCGAAATCATGTGCCAGACAGAAAAATTCATGTGATCGAAATCGCGTAGACAGTAATAATCCTTCGCTTCGAGTCGGCATCAGAACGCGACGTTGTCCCGTCTTTGTTCAATTGAGTACCGACTTCGCTCCGGATAATTAAGGCAAGTTGAAATCAGATTACTTCTGGCGACCTACAATATCTATATCTGACAGGCGAGATTACCTTACTATCTCGTTAATTCCTGCGGCTGCTGTTTAGAGCAAGGCGTAGGCTACCTTCTTTGACCCTTTGTTCATTCGCTGAACTTACCTCATTGTAGCTTCACGCCTCCAGTTCCTCTAGTAGTATATTGGATGTAATACTTCCTACACCTGCAGAGCGAAGCTTAACAATTGCGTTATGTAACTCTCTGTAGCTGATGCTTGGTAGGAGAGTTGAGGGGGTATCCCATTGTCTCGAGCAATCCTCATTGTAGACTCGCATCCTCCCGCTCACTATACCAGAAAGTATTACATCAAGCCAGTATCTTGTGCCTGTTCGTCTTTAGTTCTCCCAACTAGCCAAAGAAAAACTAACAAATCAATGCTAATTATGTATCCAAGAAAATCATATTAGAAATTCCTTCAGTTGAAGGATTGCGTAAAATGGAATGTATTGGATGCCCTACGCTACATATCAGACAAAGTTGACTTTACAAGTGAATATTCAAAACTCTTTAGAGAAACAGCTAAAAATTTTATCTAATTATAAAAGTCTTCGGCTGGCAGCAAAATCAAGCTTCTTGAAAACCTGCCAAGAACACTAAACCGAAAAGATGTAGTAAATTTCCTTGAAAATTAGGCGTTAAAATTTGCCGAGGTTAGTAATACCTATCTATTGCGTGTATTTTACGATTAATAATCAAATTTTGATGTATTATCATAGGGTCGATATAAAGTCAATGTTACTGACAAAACGGGCCATGACAAGAAAGACTACCGAAAAATTTGCAAGAGTAGGTATTGACTATTTAATAAATTCCTGGAAAATAAACCAATCGGATAATTTTCTTGATATCGATAGATACCGGATAATAGATGATAAAATACAGTATTAGTATAGTAAAATATAAGCGGGATATAATTTATTATTTTATTTTTTTCTTACACGACGCCTTTTACTTCCGGTTTCGTTACTCGCTGTTATCCGGTCTTTTAACAACCCCACAATCATTCCAATTATTCGTTGTCAATATTTCTTTGATTGCGGTTTTTGAGAGGTTTATTTCATATTTATCCTCGCTGGTACAATAAAGCCTGTCAGTTGAAATATAATAAGATGCCCATTTCGTTGCTAGAAATAAAAAGATAATAAATACTATACTCTGTAATCGATGATTATAACAGAGCTACCACGGGTAATACTTGTAGTAACGATCCCGTAAAGATAGTCATGTTCATCATTATTAAAAGCTTGTTCTGCAGTTCGCTTTCTATTATCTTTATTAGTATGGTACGCACTTTCCACTGTCTGATGTTCTGAAGATAACCGATTTTGATATTACGTGGTTTCCCCTCAGCGATGCACATAAGGTCCTCCTTCCCCTTAATTGCATAATTAATACGGCCAGTTACATCTTCACCCGAGATATCTTTTTGTAAGGATATATAAACTTTTTCTTCTTTAGTTTGTCTTCGAGCGATTGCAAGGGAAGCATGCAGGATTGATGAAATAAATTCACAGCGGGTTGCCTCAATAGCATCAGTCATTGTTTCAATATTTGATAAAATAAGTACCATGTATAATTACATCTAGTTTAATTATATCCATAATATTCTGCGGTTTTAGGTTGTACCCTATATTAATATTTCATAAAAGAATCCAATCTACGCAAAAATTGAATCATGTATTCTTGAGTACAGTGAACCCTCCGCTCGGGAATGGAGGAAAGCTTGCATTTATGGAGGTGCGCATTTAGAGAGAGTAAGAATTTGATTGGTTGCACGCGAAATTAGGAAATAATGAAATATCATTGATTATTTATTTATTAAAAAATTGATCCATCGTAGTCTGTTTCATTGCGGTCGTCTTTTTTACATTAACGTAGTTGTCAAGAGCTTTGACGTGTTTGAACAATTTCTCAGCATTATCTTGTTGTTGTAGAAAAGTATTATACACTATTTCTAAGCTTTTTGAAGCCTCGTTAACAGATTATTTCGGGCTATTGGCTTCCTCGCTATTGTTATTACTGTAGTAGGTAATCTGACTGTTTCCTATACAATTCAACAGGTTCTTTATTGTCAGGAATCACATAAATCTCTTGTTCTTCGGGGTTACTTAATGGCTGTTCGTTGTTATATTAATAAAATGTGACGATAACTTAGAACGCGTCAGTGACTTCTTTATTCAATCGTGCTTCTTTTTTCTTTGTCTATAACCATGGGTACAAATTAGTGTAATTTCTTACCATAACACTACTGATATCACGTGAAAGTCGCGGGTGTGCATTTCAGCATTTAGAGAGGGAGGTTTACTATGGTGGGGATTCGAAAAAAACCGTGCAGTGCAGAATATGGGTGTGTATTTACGTTCGGGAATGAGAAGTAGCGTGCATTTATGGAGAGTGTGCATTTATGGAGGGTGCAATATGGAGGGTGTATTTGTGGAGGGTGCATTTACGGAGGGTTCCTGTATATAGTTGACCAAATTCAATAGGTCTAAATCCTTAAATTCGATAATCTTGAAAATACTATAACAATAAAATACTTGATACATATCGATATGTATCTCTCGGTAGGTCCGGTCCTATTATGTATGCTCGAGCGATTAAGAGTTACTATTTTACATATTAATATGTATGGTTACACAACTTTATCCAAAATCTGTACAAAACATTTCGTCATTAACATCATCGAAAATGTCTCGATGGATCGTTTCGCTCGAATAGACTTAACATCTTCTTTACAACCCATATTAGGTGACTCTGAAACTTTACTTATTATCCAGGATAACGTTGGATTATACGACGGGTACTGTTTGAGAAAATGGCGTGGTTGACAGCAAGAGTTTGGGATAAAGTCAATTACGTGTGGCGTGAATCAGAATATAGCGTTGTAATAGAGTTATTCATAATTTAGAGACGAAAAGGCGCCGGATTATACAAACGGCAAAGCGTATTTAACGACACACAGAATTATATATGTTGACTCAACTAAGCCGCAAACACATTCTGTGTCATTGGATCTGAAACTCGTTAAAGCCAGAGAGCATTTTGTATGTTTACTTTTATATTATATTGATTCAGAATGCATGCTTAGATATTTTACTTTTGTTCTTTATACATGAAGCAATATATTATATCGCTCGCACATGCCTCTTCTTCGCAAGACACTATTCACTAAATTAACTTTCGGATGCAGACAGGTTTCCTCAAGTCTTCACCAAAGATAATTCTCCGCTTTACCGACTCTAATTCAACCTTCCTCGGCCCGCCTCCATCAGTGCCAACCACCAATACCGCGTCTCCGTCGTCTTCTCTCCAACAACCTCAGACATGGATATGTTTTTCCTGCTCTTATTCTAACTTTGCTTCGACACTTAAATGTGAACTCTGCGGTGTTAAACGTCCTGATGCATTGACATCAAGTTCTTCCACTTCACTCTCCCAAACCCAAATTTCTCCAACTCCCGTGCTGGGAGAACACTTTCCAAACGCCTCACTTGGAGAGGTCTCTACGTCTCCGACATTACAACCTGTGCTTACATCAGAGGGAATCTCATGCCCAAGATGCACATTTTCGAATCATCCGAGTATGGTGTGGTGTGAATTGTGTGGCATGGAGTTGGGCACGTTCAGGCTTGATGGGATGGAATTGAGTGATGACGGAAGCGTTGAGAAAACAGGAAAGGAGAAAGAATGGGCACAACATGTAAAGTTGGCTTTTAGAAATGGCGGGAATACTTCCTTTTACGAAAAGTTAAAACTTGCGATGACAAAAAAAGAGTGGGAGGTAGGTGCGAAGCATTGTTGGAAGGATCGTTTTCGTTGCATTGATCTGGAATCTAATTATGTGGCGCACAATTATTGCATAGAAAACAACGGAATCTATTTCCGGAAATCCTCAAATAGACTTTGATCCTGTTCGCGGGGGAATAAGTGAGTATGATTATTGCTACATTGTTCGCGCACGCTATTTAGTTGTAACCATTATTCCGTGTATCCTGTTTTCTCCTTTGAATTCAGTTGGAATAATGAAGAATGTGGCTCAAAACCAAGAAGAACAGAAGGAGACCCTCGCTCAAGGTTTTAAGGATATAGACGCACTGATGGCAAAAGCTTCTGTTATGGTATGAATTATAAGCATGGGAAATTTACGTTATGAATAATCTTATTCAGGACGAGGTTTAATGTACGATTTCGGATTCTTTCCTAATGAATTCGATTATGTGTTTCATGGTAATTGGGATAGGTTAAATTAGCCGAATCGATAAAAATGAAACTAAACAAAGATTCTAGTGAATCTGAAGTATCCGCTGACGATGATACAACGTTTAGCACCTATTTGTTGGAACTTGGAATGTCGAATCCAGTAACAAAAAAGTATATTGCGCGACATAATTGCTTAATTAACTCGATATAACAACGTCCACTCAACATAATCATTTTAACACACTTTATTTCATTCGCGCAGAGATTCCGGCTCAATATACCATCAAGAACTTGCCCGTCAGTTAGCTGAATTCCTCTCCGGCCTTCTCCACAAGAATAAAGGGATGATGGTTCTCACTGATGTTTATTGTCTTTTCAATCGTGCTCGGGGAGTAGCGTTGATTTCTCCGGATGATCTTTACAAAGCATGCTCGCTTTTTGAGCCATTGGATCTTCCCATGCGATTACATCAGCTTGCAAGTGGGTTGCTGGTCGTGCAAGCAGCGGATCATAATGATGATGTTATAGCAAAGAAAATATTGGAATATATCAGGCAGAGAGGTTCATTGACGGCTATTGAGCTCGCTGCCGTCGAGAATACAAGTATTACGCTTGTTAATGAACAGTTACAGGTGAGGACTGAGGAAATAAAGTGTCGCCATGGTTGTGTAACACCAGTTTCCTAACAATTCTGATCTTGTGAAACAGATGACGGTTTCTAAAGGTCTCATTTGTACAGACGAAACCGTTGAAGGAGTGAGGTTTTATGAGAATATTATAATAAATTATCAATGGGATCCAGAAACTTTATAATAGAAATGGCATTTAATCGTGATATTGTCTGATGGGTGAAAATTCTGGACGCAACTGAAAAGTGGTAAACGAAGATTTAATTACGATTGTATAAATTCTATGGCAACAGATTGATTTTCCATCGCATTCTTTTAGGCTTGAGAATTCAGCTACAAAAAGAGACTACTTTCTATAATAATTTAGGTAGACGTATAAAACACGTTAAATTATATATGTAATCCTCTATCTACTAAAGTTGACACACGCGCTTCAAAATTATTTATCCTCTCCAACCTCATTTCGATGAATTCATTGTCAAGCTCTTATTGTAATGCTGCAAAACCACTAAGCTTGTTAGGTGAATTTTTGGAGAAGGATAAGAATATAATTTCGTAACAATTGTCGCAATAATTGAAATTGAACTTTCGGTCAAATTTGAGATCTTCTAAATAATTGCGATCTAATGACGTTATGATACTGCGGGGCAAAAAAACAGCAACGAATTGGTGAATACAATTGGATGTAAGCTTAGATTACTTAAATTATATTTATAAATATCATGATAGATTTAATTTTACAAATGGATTCTTGATTGATAGTTATCACCCATAAATATGATGACAGAATGATATAATTAGCTGGCAGGTCAAAAAAAAACCGAACCATTGAAGCATAGAGACATGCCTTCTATAGTTACAACAGTCTTATTAAAAGAAGCAAGGAAACGTCGCAAGTGGCAGAATTAATTTTGCAGCATATTAAATTAAATAAAAGACTGAAAGAGTTTCTATATTCAGGACATTAAGACGTTATTAAAGACAATATCGCGCAACGTACATTCGCCCCTTAGTTAGAAATAACGCGATTCGTCAAAAACATATACATTTGTGTGGTCTCAATTTTTGAATGCACGAATGACAGTACGATATTTATTATATTAATATCACATGTAATCCCGGATTTACATGTGAGCCCAAAACGCAATTTATATATTAATATGTGATTTTTGCGACGTCCCCAAATCGCATATTAATATGTAAGCACATAGTAATAGGTTTATTATATCATAATAGGAACAACAACAGCGTTTATTTACAAAGTACATGAAATTTGACATATTTAAGAATTGCGACAATTAAAACTAGTCTTATGACAATGAATCCGTTTCGTTTTCTATAACCGCATTCATTATCTAGACATAAACCTTTACACGTACACCTAGTCTTTCTGCCAGATACAAACTAACGACACCTTGCGCTCTCGCTGCTTCTCTTAGTGTTATTGGTAAAGTTTTGGCATTGCGGTTAGACTGTAATCATAGTCTATTTCGATCTAACCGACGACGATTGCTTTGAAATTATTGGTATCACGCTTAGCTGTAAAGTTGGTCAGATCGTACGATGATAAATGGCTATTTGACGATATTAGCTTGTATACATGGTATTGTCTAACGAACGCGTAATAGTGCAGTTTGACAGGCTAAAAACTTTGAAATTGACCCGTTAATTTCAATATATGTGATAAATTTTTCCACAAATGCTTCCATACTTGACATTAGTTTCAAATGCAAATTCAAGATATAATTCATATTAGATGATTGAAGACATTTGCCCTATACACTAATGATGACAAAACACCAAACAAGTTATCGTATGAATAAATTGTCACAATGAAATGTATGCGTAGAGAACGTAGATGCAATTAAGAATATAATAAAGTTGCCACAATATTGTTATCGAAGCTTTATGATTATACTCAATATTTGTCAGAGAGGTTTCCGGAAAAAAAGATATCCGGCTCTTCGTTTAATAAACAGTATTGTGTTGCTACTAATATTTATAGTGACAAAACGTTCGAATCATAATAAACTCGTTTTTTTTTTTGCTAAAACTATTTAGTGTTTGATACGAAATCGAGTAATGTGTTGCTAATGCATTAACGTTAGTTACGAGTTTGGGGACCTTTGCCACAAATTATATACATTCAAACCTCTTTATACGATATTCTTTATACCGATAACTGGTTTATACCGATAAATTTCGTTTCAGTCCATTAAATTTACTGCTTATCCTCAAAACTCTAATAAATCTCTTTATTCGCTATACTGATACAATCTTCGGAACGGTTAATTAGTATTGATATGAGATTAATACCGATATCTTGTGCGCGTATAAATGCACACCCGTGATGATTAAAATGTAATTTCATCTAATTTGTGTGATATCGCGACATAACTATCAGCTGACTCATGTGTACGTGAGAACAAAGATTGTACTTCTGAAGTTAAAGTTATATTGTCGCAAATTACAATATTTAATTTGTAACACTGATATAATGAGGTTTCCATAATCGGGTCTCTGATTATACCGATAAACTCGTTATAATATACATATTACGACCCAATGTCTCATAATATGAAGATAACAATGAGACGTTTGGCATAATATATTAACATATCCTGCGCAACCTTAAATATAAAGAATCTACTGCGATTTATTATCGCGATGATAACAATAATGTATTGTCCTATCTTTATTTCAGAAAGTACAATTATTTGCTCCAAAATAATAAATGCATTAGTAGGTACTTATAATATTGTAAAAAAAAATTGGTACCCACTGTACACATTATTGGCAAGGAATAATATTAATATAAACAACAACTTTTAAGACAAAACCAGCATATTCATCTACTTAACGTCGCATTATCATTTACATTACAAGCTATTATGGTATACTAATAAGTAATACTAATACACGGCTCCACCGTGTTTGTATCAGCGCTTACCCGGTATTGGATGATAAGAATAATGAGAATTTTACCTGTGTCAACACCAGAAGGAATTGTGGAGAAACAACAGTCTCTACATTCTTTACCGGATGTGCTTAGACTTAAACTTTGTCAGGAAATTACGCTTTATTACACCACACGAGAGCAACTCGTCGTAGTGTGTTTTAGACTTGTACGATTACGTTATTATTATGCATTTTTGTATCGTCGTGTGGTTTTACTACGAAGCAACCAAAGTCGTTTCAATCAGTGAGCTTGTGCTCATGCTTTTCGAGCATCGATATGATCACTGGTAAGCATCGGATAGCAACTGATTAGGCGCACCCGTAGCCTTTTCTTCACGTGTCGTATGTGAGATAGTTACGCCATAAGTTCTTTGAATTAGAATAAACAAAATTCCGTCCACATCAAAGGTGGGTTATGTCCGAGGGTGGGATACGGATAAGTGGGACATAAATGAAGGACGACTATATTGACAATATTTGTTATACATGCAATAAATATAGTACACTCGTACCCCGTTTATATCCTTACCCAGTTATATCCCGCCCCATCTCAGATATATCCCTATCCCCATAGAGTCATATGGCCGAATATAATAATCCCAACCCGTTTATATCCCCTAAGTTACACTAATTGCTAAAACGGGGCGCAATTCCATTAGTCAAATTTGTATGCAGCAACTGCAAATTTTCTGAGCAACAAGAACGCATTGATAAATTAAAAACAAAACAAACTGATTTATATTTTGATAATAACATTGTGTGTATATACTCGAATAATAAATAAATCACATATTAATATATATATTGCTTATAATTATCATCACGATTCTTGTTATGTGAGTACGAGATCATCCCCCGTTTATATCCCCACCCCGCTTATATCCCCGCTGAACGAAAGGGGTGTACGTACGCAATTTCTGTATTGTCACAATTGTATTGAATATTCAATTGACGAATCACGTGATTATTTCGGAAAGGAAATCTGCGCATTCGCTAAAGCTAATTCAATTTTCAAGAACAGACCGAAAAGTAAAAGTGAAGTTATGTAAAGCATCTGTTGACATAATAATTAATGTATTTTCGATTGCGTCTGCTGTTAGAAGGCTAGACGACTCTGTACTACACGCTGGTTCGCACGACATGCGAAACACTTTGCGGAAGGGTTGTGAATGAGTCAAAAACCGCTGGCACCAACTATCAAAGAAGGCTTCTTAAAGTCAGGGCAATCACCCCTCTTGTTAGACATTGGTTTTGACAACGAAAATTATCCGCAGCCTTTGGCGTAGGAAGAGGCAAAAAGTATGTTAATCTTATTTCCAAAATGTCAAACAACTAGAAGAGCAGAAACTCGGACAAGAATATCACCGATGTGATTAAGTCCAAGAAGTGCGGACTAAACAGTATATTATATCAAATATTGATTTTGTTGCCAACCGCAGTAAGACTGCCGTAATGCATAACTTGGCTGTATTTGGACAAAAAAAAACGAATTCAAGAAGTAAAATAAGACATATGATGAAATAAAATAATAACACCTTCGACAATCAAGGTTTAAGTACAGAAACCTAACCATTCTTTAAAAAAGCTTCTTGCGCGATAGCAGTTTATCAGGCAAGTTGCGAATTATAATCCAAATATTCGCTTTATGGCCTATCGATAAACTTCTACCTTTCACTAACCCCGATTCAACAAGCATATAGTCATGAAAATACAACGTCATTATACTTATGGATTACGGAGGTGGTTAATATGCGCAAGATAATAGCTTAATTTGAAAAAAAAAATTCTTAGAACGTCTCATTACAACCACCAACCGTCTCTGCTGTTCAACTTGTATAAAAATATTCCTCATCATCGTCCGAAGACTCGGTGTTGTCGTCTTCGACATCACTATCCTGAGCTTCATACGCAATTATATGTTCCAACTCCGTCGCCAAATCAGGCCAATTATCAAGGCAGTCATACACTAGCATTTCCCAATCATCATCATCCAACACGCTCCGATCGGCAAACAAAATCTCCTTAAACTCACCAAACAAGTCATATTCTATGTTGAATTCTTCCTTCCTTTTCAATACAGATCGCTTTTCTTGTGACAAACATTCACGTGCTTTGACAAAGAACTGCGGATATGAATCCTCAAACCGGTGTAATTTTTCTGCATAATCTCTAATTGGTGTGATGTCGATATATTCATTTTGCGACCATGATAGTGAGTATTCTGTTTCGACGTTTGAGTCATCATCATTGTATCCATTTTCAAAGTAACCGACGATGTACTTGAACTTTTGTAATAATGCTGGGTTATGACGTAGGTACTCGGTTATGGAATTCATCCACGAATTATCACACATCTCAGCACGAGGAGTATTCAATACTTTGTTAAACGCTTGCCACTTCCCTTCAGAACCGAAACATGACTTGATTGTGTCGAAAAATGCCTTATTTTTAGTTACAAGCTCTCGCATATCTTTATCGCGTTCCATTAGAGGAACTAGAATGTCCTTTGATAATTCAATGCATTCGAGTTCGGGTGGCGATGAAGGGGATAATGGCAGATATAATTCCTCAGGCGTATCGTAATTGCCTGGCGTGCTGAGTACCTCGGGTGGAAGTTGGAAGGTAACTGTACGTTTTTGGGATTGTACAGTTATGGGTTCATCGGGAGGAGTGGGTGGCACGGCCATAAAGTTTTTGACATTACCATTCTTTTTCTTGTTCTTAACGGCCTGTGAACGTCTGGTTAAGGCATCTTCAGAGGATGGAGACAGTGGTGGAATACCAGATTTTTGAGTAGTATTAAAGGGGATAGGACATGTCGTCATGAATTTGGACATAGTGCGTTTATATATCTTTTTATATATATATTTATTTATTTCTTCTCTTGTTTAAATTTCGAGCGACCAATGAGAATACGTATACGTGATTATACAAGTGACTTACAGTCAACCTTTGCCCAAGCCAACGTCAAGCTCCTCTATTTATAACAACTTTAAACTTTATGTGGCATATCATCATACATAATTACTTCCGTATCATGGGGGGTTACATACAATTCTGGCGTTTCCCATATTGAATGAATTTCATGGGGCGTAATATAACCGTTATTTAACGAGTAACGTCAACTGCGAATGTGGGGAGTGATTTGCATATATATCGTCATACTTGGTCAATACGTGTGAATAAAAAGTCAGCAAAGAATAAATATTCGGGGCAAAGTCCTTCCTAAGGTAAACGGCATACAATAAAAAACTTTTTGAAAGGGAAGTGTAATTTACATGATACCTATTTAGTAAACACAATTATCATTATCAAGATCGCTGTTACTTTTGATGTAACGAATGTTCGATTGTACAAATCAAGATAAGCTCAGTATAGCCACATCAACTCGGGACCTGATGAGGGCACCGCCGGGTTCTAGTCGAAATAGTAGTTAACGCCACAAGGCTACTAACGATAATAAATACACAGTAATAATAAATAATAGTAACGTAACGTTATTAATTATTCCGAAGTTCTCCGTAAATAATAGTAACGGCGTGAATAAGGTTAGTCTTCCAAGCTTTTTGTTACATAAGGTTAGCTCAAAGAACTTGACACTGAATATGCTATCAAAAGTATCTGGTCAAGACGCTTATGCAGAGCATACAAAATATTGCACCTTGTATGCTTCGGAACTAATAACAGTTTGTGTCGTCTTGTGTGGGAATAACGTTTGCGTTTAAATATAAGCGTGGAAACATCGACATGATGCCAAATTATTGATGTGGTTAAAGCAACGGCGAAACCCGAAGACGTTTTATCACTTTCGATAAATATTATTTGAAGGCATCCAGAATTCACAGCACTCGAAATTCAAAAATGGCTCTGGTTTGTCGAGATGAGGATTTATAACCGATTCTTTAAGTATAGTCTTATCCCGCTAGTAATATTAACATTCGCTCTAAATGGTGTAGTTCTAGGATCTATTAATATTACTGTATAACACAGTATATAGATAATTTTTCCACATATAATGAAACGTAGTATCCAATCTTGTTTAGGCCACACGGAATTATGGTCAGCAATAATTAACGACAATCTATTAATATTAAAGACATTAGTAACCTGAGATAAAGCTAAGATTGATTATAGAGCTAAATTTCCGAGTCAGCAACTAGCATATTAATATGCTCTCCTACTTGCATATCTGGTGTACAGGAAATGATAGTTAAGCTCAAATGCTAATATTTTTGTCCACTATATCTTTCTCGCTAATAACATTATTCTAATGGGTCAATGAAAGAAGAGTAGAACTCCACGTAGAGAAACGGTGAGATACGGGAACATTGTCTAATTATAGTCGCCGAAACATCAATTTCTCGACTTGTCATTTCACATACTATACGTATCATGTTGTAAAATACTTTATCAAACGGCATCTTTAACAAAACAATGATCATTAATATAAATTTGCCTCATATAGTACTTACATAAAAATTGTGTGTAGTGTATATGGCAAATAAACTATTAACTTGATTACATTGATAGACATTCGCCTGAGAAAATATTCAGTTCTCCACTCGCCCTTGTTTTTTTTAGTTTAGCGTTTTTATCCTGTGCTCTTCAGGATTACAGTTTCGCAACTGATCTATCGTTTTTCATGGCTCGTTGTCATACGCATTCCTCCTCATATTACTGTCATTTATGGCGATTCGACAAGTGCAATTTTAAACATTTTTATTGTTTCTTTGCTTAATAACTTATCCATGTTATGGCCTAAATGTCGTTGACTAATTTGGCTTGGTCAATCATAATGTACTTTTCTTTGTTCAGCAAAGTCTTGGTCTGAGAAGCCTTGAAATTCCGGCCCAAGTCCTTACTTCTTTGAATTTCTTGATATTATCTTTTATTTAATCTTATACATTTGTTGTATGCTTGTTTACGATATTCTTTAGCCGTTCACTGATATGATATATCACCTACGTCTATGCGGCACTCAAGGTAACGTAAGGCCTTTTTTCAATTGAAGATAGAATAAACATAAACCTCGCGCTGGAATTTCTTAATAATATAAATAAATGCTGGCCAGATAATCGAAACTTTTATCGCAAATTAATACGGAAGGTTGAATATTGGCTGAAAATCAATCAATTAACCTTAAATGATAATGATTGAACCTCCCTCAAATACACCCTCCATAAACGTACACCTGCACTTTTCGATGTCCTCCAATGCACGCCCGTGGCTTTTATGTAAGACTATGTATCGTAATCAGTAGTGTTACGTTAAGAAGTTACACGAATTGTACCCCCGATTATAGATCAAATAAAGAATTAAGGGTTACACATTCTGATCTTTATTGATATCCAAACTTTTGCGTGATTCCTGATGATGAAGAACTTGTTGAATTATATAGGAAGTGGTCAATTTACTCTACTAATAGCAGTAGCGAAGAAGTCGATGGTAGACCGATCCCAGATTAATCGAGCTTAGGAATATTTATAATTCTCTACAACAACAAATAAGGCTGAGAAATTGTCAAAGCTCTTGACAAATACATTAATGTAAGAACGACAATCACAATGAGTCGGATCAATTTTTTAATAATAAATAACCCATTAATCCCGAATTTCTCGTGTAATCATCAAATTTTTATCCTCTCTAAATGCACACCCTCCATAATGCACGCTTTCCTCTATTTCTGAGTTTATAGAGAGTTTACAGTAATTGTAGTGTTATTTATTTGCGCTTGTTAAATAGAACGGTCGGAAGACGATTCGTAGAAGAATTGGTCTCAAAACGACAATTCGATCGAGTATATACTAGGAATTGAGTACACGGTATCAGACGCACTAACTATATGCGTGTTACGTGTATAACTTAATAATAGGCTCGCAACGAATATACTGTAAAACGCAATATGACGGAGGGCAGAGTTCCTAGCCAGGTCGCAATTTGGACCATTCTAGAATGGTCTAACTACCCCTTGACTCATTTCAAAATTCCTTAATATTCGAATGTTATACAATGTATTCGTCGATTATTTCCCGAAATTCAGTGTGCGTTGTGAAAAAAAAATGGCGCTTGTGTATCTCAACAATTACCCGACCGAGACTGAGGAATTTATCCCACTCTTCTACCATAAATTGCCTTAACTCGCCAACATTCTTTTTTCTACATTGTTTTTAACAATCTGCCACATATTCTCGATGAGATTCAGATCAAGGCTGTTAGATGGCCTAAGCACACTTCACGTGTTGCAAAAGACTTTTTAGCCCAAAACAATATTCATGTAATAGAGACGCCATCCTCTGCCATACAACTGGCCAAATCGAAGAAGCTGGGTTTGCAAACATTTACGTAAAAAGGTCCATTCATTATGACTGTAAAGCAAAACAAGGACGTTTTGCCATTCACGCGCCATTTTTTTCGCAACACACTGTATGTTCAATCGAGTTTTTGACCGAATACACCAGCAAGCAAACGATGTCACTATAAGATTCCGCCCGCCTGTATCATCAAATGATAACAGGCAAAAGATCCATGTTAGGTATCATCTTCATTATTTTATGTCTCTGGTCAAGAATTCAACAAATAACCATGTGTGCAATTATATTAACATGGGCTAGAATTTGAAATGGCCAGGGTAGTTGGAATGGTCCAAATTGCGAGCAAATATAGTGAATGTGCGTTGTACCAACCGTTCGAAAACGACACAAATCCTTCCGACGTTGTTTGTTTTTTTTAATACTTTTGCGTGCAGTAAGCGTGTTGAGTTTATGTAACTTTTTCATTAATGATGCGCTAATTTCTAAATCAATTCTGTTGAACATACTAAGATTGCATCTCCTTTCTAATCCATTCCACAGTTCCAAGTTTTTATCTTGATTTGTCACAGTAGAGGGGAGCATTTTTGCTCTATCTAGTTGCATTTTCCGACTGCAAGTCGTATATAAGTGGTGTCAAAAGAATTAGTCTTCAAGTATGCAGCAAGACGGGTTTGACCTACAGATTAAAAAGCGCCAATTTCCACGCCGAATTTTAATCCTTTTCTTTGCGTGTAACTAGTGAATGTTATATTCGTTCACATACAGACGTAATATGTCTATTATGATTATTGACATATAGCACATTTAGATTAACATCTGTTATACTCTAGAAATTACCGCTCTTATCGACACGTTTAATTAGTGATAACTTGGTTCCGTCAAAAAATATCCGTACTAAACGAAATTCATTGTATTGAGTTTCCTGTGTACACTGTAATTCCAACAACGGTCGACATTGCATTTATCGAAACAGACGCGTTAAAATAAACCAAGTTGGGGATATTTCTCTCACGAACGGGTTATAACAACATGCTTTAATTAATAAGATTACATAATTCCATTATCTGTTGTAGTGGCAACGAGACTTCACTTATACTGTATCCTATCTAGCGGACTTTTTTGTTTTATTTGAATAGACATTTATTCTAGTACAGATGCTTAAAAAAGAAAATACTTGGTTTTTCGATCAGAAACGCTGCAATACATGCCGGTTTTCTTTGTGGACAATACCAGTAGGTAAATATGTTTTTTTTATCCGAATCGAATAAACAGTAGGCATGTATCGCGCAAGTCACACAATTATTCTAGACCAAATCATAAATTGGACCGTTCTAATTTTGTCACAGTTTCGGAATAGGTCAATATCAAGTTCCAAAACGGCCAGAACTCTCCAATGCAAGCTCTGGTTCGTACTGAGCTTACTAGATTATTAAATATTTCACTCTCTGTAAATGCAAGCCCTTTGTATATACAGTGGGTAGACAAAAGTCTCCGGACAGTTTCGTACTTAAATTTTCTCGAAAACTTACATAATAATTGGGCATGAAATTTTGGTTTAAGTTTGATGTACCAATATCATTTTATTAATATTAGTTGGCCATCCCTCGCTTGTGATGCAAGCTGCACCTTCTTCGACATACTATTTATTAGATTTAGATATGTACATTCCGGAATTCGCTCCTATTCCTCCTTCAAGGCCGTAATTAATTCACCTTTGTTTTTTGGCAATACTTTCCGTTTGCGAATACGCCTGTCCAATTCATCCCATAAATGTTCGATGAGATTAAGCATTTTAATATTGTCTTGATTATCCAATCGGTAATATCTTTGGCTCTATGAATAGACGCGTTGTCTTGTTGAAAATTATACCCTTTATACCTTTGAAGTTTGGCTGAATATATGGTAATAAGTGTTTTTCTAATACATCAACATAACCCCAACGATCTAATTTACCTTCCTCTATTACCAACGGACCTAATCCTTTTCCTGAAAAACAACTCCATACCATTACTTCTCCGCCTCCATGTTTAATCGTGGGAACAAAATTATTGCGTGTACCGGGCATTCTCCAAACTCTTTGAGGACCATCACTTTTAAAAATAGTAAATTTATATTCATTACTCGAAATGACGGGGGTTTTCCATTTCTTATTGAGCCAGTTTTGATGCATCAGTACGCTGTTTATCGGACAGAAGCGGTTTGGGTGTAGCTATCCGTGAATTTAGTGCAAGTTGCGACGAATCGTCCTAACAGATACGTTTACACCAGTAGCACTCGCAAACTTTTTTTGAATTTGAGTAGCTGTATTGCGCTGGTTTTTTGCACAATATTTTTGAGCCTTTTGCGTGCGCTATCGTTAAATTGGGATGGTTGACCAGTCCTTGGAATACTGGTAACCGTTCGATGTTGTCCATATCGCTGAATCGTATCACTTATCGTGGATTTCGGAATTTGAAGAACTTACTAATTTTTTGAATGCTAAGATTACTTTTCCGTAACCCAATAATTTCAGATTGCTTAATATTAAATTCTGAGAGTTTTATTGTAATCTTATTTATGTCAGTTGATATTAAAGTAGGTTTCGAAATAATATTGAAAAAAAGTGAAGTAGCTATTTGTTTATAATAACAACGTTTCGAATTATAAATAGAGATCTACATTACAGTACAAAACTGTCCGGAGACTTTGTCTACCCACTGTATATGAATATGCAACATTGCATTTAGAAAGGGTTGATTAGCTTTATTATGGACTATTCTTTCATGATTACATGGTTACGTTTTTTAAGATTTAAGCAGCACGTAATTAATACGATCCAGTCGCTGACAACATGTTAATGCTATGAGCTCCCTCATAGAATATTAGGTAAATAACATTTTAGCTTACATTTGTACAAAAAACGTATAATAGACTTGCTTGATTTAATAATTGCTATCACAATCATTCATGAATCAAAGTTTCTATTTCCCTGAGCAAGTATTTATGATTACCTTGCTGTGTTGTTTCCTTTTTTATTTCATTTTCTTTTTGTGTGAGCGGAAATAAATTAAAGATTTTTCAAAATGTTTATCTGACATGAGTGTTATCTTTTGTTTATCTTTCACAAACCCTAACATATTTCAATAAGGTGGCTTCCAGATAAAATAATTCTCGTTTTTGCGCTCATTACGGCTCTCATCAGACAGCACGCTTTGTCCAGAATCATTCCCATTATTCATCAGAGCTGTCTGAGACTGTTGAAGGAGCATTTGATGAAGCGGATGACGGTGAAATTGGGATTGAGAAGCTTTTGTGTGAGGAAACACGGGAGTAAGAGTTTGGGCGTTCGTCTCTTGATATGATAGTGTTGATAGTTGTGTGCTTTCCCATTGTCGTTGTAATGGTTCTCGTCGTGCTTCCCAAGTAGTTCCGAACAATGATGTCATACTATGGTCATCACGCGTTTGAGGCAGTAACATAGTCTCTTGATTGTATACATTACTGGTTCCGCTTAACCCGTATGTTCTACCAGCATGCGAGCTATGACTTTTGTCTGCTCCACCAAAAGAGACATCACCGGTGACCATGCCATTCTGTACCATAAATCCACTAACTTGCAAATTGGCCTCGGATTTCGTTTTGTAATTTGCAGAGAACGCAGACGCGGGCTTATGAGATATCGACGAGACAGTCGATGATGGAGAGACAGTTGATGACTTGTTGTATTTCCGTTTTTTACAAAGCTTGTGCACCTGTTTTGAGCGAGGTAGAGTACTACTTGCTCCTCCGTTAGACAGTTGATCGGTAGCATCTTCGATTCCAATCATGTCCTCGCACATTTTTCCGCCCGAAACATTTTGATTTATTCTTCCCTCTCTTTTTACGCTCATATCAATCATCTTGAACTCTGCATGTGCGGCTGAATTTTTTGTAATATGCTTCCACTTGCCAACCGGTGAATACACCGTTGACGCCATTTCTCCACAATGTCTCAGCTCTCCACACAATCTTAAAGACCACGGTAATACTGTCTTCTCATATTTCTTCTGACAGATCGCTCTTACTGCTCGATACGATTCCGATGAGCTCCCCGAGTATATCTCTATTATATTTTTTGTGGTATTCTTGCATGCGTCACGTTCGCAAAGTAATGCGTATTTAGATGCCATGGCCTCAAACAATCGTTTCTCGTCGATGAATGGCAGATGAATTTTGCCGGATATGTTGTCTGCAGGCGGATAGAACTCTTTTATCGGAGATAAAGGAGACGTAAGTAGATCTCTAAACGGTTCGGGGAGGAGATACGAGCATTGTGGAGGAATAATACACATTAGTTGTTCGAATGGACGCATTGGATTGTCTAGAGGAAAGTCTTGAGAGACGAGAAGAGGGGAGACGTAATTAAGAATGTCTTGTATAGAAGGTGAATAATAATGTGGATAATAGAAACGCCATGATGGACATGCCCCAGTATAGTATTGCATTGACCAGCAGAGTGTACGAATAAAATCATTCGCCCTTGTTGTAGCCTCTAGCGGGTCAACGGATGTTGACGACGCAGAATCAAATCTCCTGAAAAATCCCATGTTTCCGATATGAGAGATTAATTTAAGCAGTCTATTTATTTCTACACGACCATTGGCAGCTGTAATGTAACCACCAATGTCGGTAAACATAGTTTTATACGTTGATGTTAAAACATCTACGCTCATCCCCAATCCGCGCAATTTAGGTATAAAATCGTTGCCTAGCAGCATTGAGATGCAAACAAAATCATTAAGAATTCTTTCATCATCTGTTTGTAGCGAATTCTCGGATGGTTTCATTTCCTTCAATATTGCTTTTCGTAATCTATCTACATGAACGTATACAAGTGCTCTGTCTCTCAGTATACGGATATTTGCTTTGTGAGTTCCTAGAGCATACATAATAAAGTCTGCATCGCCGCCACATACTACATGATTAGTGTCTTGATTGTATCCTGGTTGCGATAGTTGAAATTGAAGAAATTCGAATATTTTATGTTCTCCTTCTCCAGGTACACTCGAGTCGTTCAATATTATTTGTAAATCACGTCTACGGCCGTTAAGGCGTTGGTAAACGTAAAATCTAACAGCCTCATTGGCTGCATGCATGAATTCGGTGCCAGCAGAGATATTTACAGAGTCTATTGGTACAAAGAATGACGACGATGTCGAAGAAGTGAAGGATGTAGAGAACGAGGCGATGTTTGAGATATCGTTGCTTTTTACGTCTGTTGTATGTTTAGCGTAGAATGGTGCGGAAGGTGGTTGGAAGGTAAGGCCGTTTGAAGTAATTGTTGATATATCAGCAAGCTTGTCATTACTCAAGGTATTACTCATGTTCTTTTTTATTGAATTCTCATCTTGTGATTTGACCGCGTTGTATCTTCTATGTCGCTGCTCATTCATCTTGGCCCGTGGCGCCACTCCATCCATTGCAATATATACCAAGGCAGCAGGTTTACAAGTGTCAATTGCGTAGTCCATTTGCCTGAATACTCTTGATAACATGATTTCGGGCGTCATCGTCCCCTTTCGCGCTTTGGACAAGGCCGCATGGAACAACCCATTTAGATCTAAATAGAGAATATCTGTGCGGTGTTGCGTACTCCGTTGGATATTTTCCACTGCTTGCGGATATGCAGTTGTTAGCCAGCGAAAGAAACCAGGTATACCCATAGTGAATTTGAATCATTTATTTTTCCGATTCTCAAAGACATTGTTTATGGACAAAGTCCAGACCAGATCAAAAATCACGCTACGCATAAAGATTTCAGGGGCACAAATTGTTAAACGACACGCGTAAGCATGGGATGAATATCAGAGCGTTTTATTATCTTTGTCTACGTTCGCTGATTTCCTTTCTCCAGACTAATGCAATTTAAAGGCATGTCTATGTTTACACAGTTGAATTAAGAAAGGCTGAATTGTGTTGAAATTCTTACAAACGATCTCCCCGAAACCCATAAACTCACCAGCCCATCTACTTTAGGATCGTTTTGTTTGAATATTTGCATGTAATAAGTATATCGCTTTACATGGCCTTGCACGAAGTTTCTCTTACAAGACGAGACAGCTGTGAGGGATGCTAAGACACTATTTCGACATAATAGTCAATCCGAATAGTTACTATATAATAATCATAGCACTGCTATATAATTAATAGATGCAACATTCCTCCACAGTAACCAAAATCCATTGTAGCGGAAGTCCGCTATGAGAAGTCACTAAGAATGGTATCATCTTTTAAAGTTTGTTTTAATAGTTCTTTTTTTTCATTCTACAAATCGTTTTTCTGTGCACGTTGGCATTATTCTTAAGTGAATGCATTATCATAGTATATAAGTTTTATTAAACTCGATACTAATTTAATGTTCCCTATCAATAGAACCAGTTAATTTTGACAGCCACTCTCTAACGTAAGTCGAAATACCTTGCGGATAGTCATTATTTCCACAAAAGCCTTCTGACACGTCTAGACTACCCAATTGTCTCGTTCGCTAATGTGCAAAAATCCAATCGTATAATCAAACTGTCGAATGCCGAACATGCTGCTATTTCCTATTTGTATTCGCCAGTACGGACAATGATGATTGCTTACTCATTCTTCGAATAAAGTATCAAATATATTTTACACAATTTACTATTATCTCTTTTGCTAATGTGCGAATTTGATAATAAGATGATGTTTAAACAAATCATACTCATCGATCTACTTATTGTTGTGCGATGAAATGTGGAGTTCTTGCGTCTGGTTTTATCTCGAATAGTTAAACTAGTCCTTCAAACTAGTTCATATACATATTTCCTGAAGAGTCCCAGACAGATTTTCAATTTACAAAACAAGCTTTGATCTAATTATGTTATATACGCAAAAACTTTGTACACGAAGATAAGCTAACTCCAAAAGTTTATGGTAATGATGAGTGTGTTTGCATCCTGTACTTCTTTCTTGCAAATGCTTTTATGCTTTAGGGAACAAGAATTTACAATGGGGACAAAATCTGAACTGAAGTGAATTTTTAGATTACATTGAGGCGCTGCATTGTGATCCATCTTCCTTTTGCCTTTGAAAACAGATTGTAGTCTTTGAACCCAAGATCTTTATTAAGTATACTGTGGATATTTTCGACATTCTTTCCAAATTGCCTCGCAAAGACTGAGTCTCAGTCTCTTGCATCGTTGAAATTTTAACGAATGTTAAACTGTGTGTAATGCTGGTGCTTTATGTCCACAATATTTTATTAATTTCCGTATGTGTCTTACTAACGTTTGTCGCGCCGTCATTTCATAGAATCGGTATTGTTCACGTGAATTCGAATCATTGGTTTCGAAGAAATTTAAGAAAACCATATTTGAAGAGTTTCTTTGATTAGTAAATACAGTTTTATCACCAATTGTCTAATCAATGCGTTGAGATTGGTTACAAACAGAAGTCAAAACATTCAAACGAAACGATTACGGCAAGATATACCTAGATCAAATATCATATGCAGTAAGTCTTGTAAGGTAGATTTAATGGAGAACTGAGACAATGCATCAAAAATCCTGTGAAAAAGTAGCTAGAGTTTGATAATGTCTGGATCGGAGATCGTTAAGAAATTTCGCCGACATCTTGGGCATTGTCTTGATATAGTTTTTATTCACTAGTTCTTTGTAATATGCGAAGATTATTATTTGCGTGTTCTAACAAGAACCTTTTGATGAAGAGTACTTTGTAATCTTTATACACGCTATACTACTTTATTGTGTTATGAGTTTCTCGAGTTTAAACGCGACACTTGAGAAAGACAGGATATAACACCATTAATCGAATACCAACAAGGAGATGCCCGCAGCATATGTGTCTTGTCAATCAGATGCTTTATGACAATATATTCATGTTGACAAAGTTAGTCTTTACATCCGACTCCTTGAAGCAGAGCCAGCTGATATGTCTGCCTATTCAGAATTTGACTTTATCCAAGAAGGTCACTATTAAGTGCCTCCTGTTTGATATTTAGACCCTCAACAAATACTTTCCTGTTACATAACGTAATTATTTGCATTAATGGAAAAATTGGTTGATTATGTTCTATGGGTTGTCTTCCATTCTCATACTACCTCATCTTTTGTCATCCATATCAAGTAATTATCACACTTCTCACGCCATGCTTACATGGACGCACGCGCACAGTCTTTACAGTCACTTGCTGTGGTCTTTGTTCCAAAATCGGATGGAAACCGTAAGTCCTTTGTTTGTTATTCGTTAACCTCATATTTTTCCCGCCGGAGAAAGACGGTATAGGACAGTAAATTATTACATTATTCGTAAATACTAGCACTCTTATCTAACTGATTTATCTTATTGGATCACATACACCATATATATTATTTGTGGCTGGGCTTGCTTTTGTTGAATTCAGAACCTCAAAATGGTATATACTTGGACTGATATGAGGCTTTTTGATAATGATTCTTGTGAGGTTGGTTTATCCCTATGGTAGAGATGCACGAAAATGTCTTACGTTATTGACTGACGCACGTACATATCCGCACGCACGGACGTACACCCACACACCCTCCACTCCCCATCTTGTCCTTGCTAAAATTTGAAAGAACTTGTACTCTTTGAACAGTTTGTATGGTATTATTCTGAACACTATCTACATGTTTACTATCCCATAGAAGCTTTCAATGTGCGCGCGCTCTCCATTCATTCTCATAGTTGAAGACCATACATAATAGTTTTCACCACCAATAAATTTGTCAACTTTCCCATAATACATTATTCTAACCTCATCATCATTAGACTTTTTTCACTCATCTCTCATTTGGTCACCACATTTACATTTACAATCACCTTTATTATATTTCCCAATCTAACATTTCTCGCTATAAATACCATCTCCTAAACCCGACCACCAGCCTCTCCGAAATGTCCGCATTAACATCAACTTTCCTTACTTTCCAATTTATAAATATTTTGATACTGATCTATCTAATAATTCAATTCCTTTGTAAAGGCAAACATAAAACACTTGCCTGTCTTTGCATAGCAACGGCGATAGAATGTATTGCTACTTTACCAATGGCAATCATTTATAGCGACAATTTAAAGACGATTGATCCAGCCAACTCTCCGGGATGCATTGTTCAAGCTTACGTGTTACAGCTTGCGCATTTGAGCGTAGGAATGTGGGCAGTGTGTTTGATAATAATGTTGTGGTTGCTTATTGTCAAAGGAGCTAGCGATGTGCAGTTGAAATTGTTCAAGGTGAAAAGTCATTGGTGAATCATTTGACAGATCTGGTTGCATGCTAATTAGAATATCTGATCGATATCCACAGATTTGCATAATTTTTGGATGTTGCATCCCAGCATTCTTGACACTCGTTACGTTTACTGTCGAACATAGACAAATTGGCGATAATGTGTCGTCCCATAACTATCATTGTTATGTTAGAGACGGATTGATTATAACCTTAACTCGGTACATTCCATTCATACTGTGTATGATTATAGGAACATGCTTTGGTGGTAAGGACTCTATTTTAACAATAGTACTATGCGCGTTTGATAACTATCTTTCAAATACACATGCCTTTCATCAAAATAGTCCATGCAACTTGGAATCTGATTACTTATCGGCAGAAATTTGAACGGGAAAATTCTTTCAAAAGCATGGCAATTCCGGCCGGTCTTTGTCTCCGAGTGATAATGTTTTGTGTGCTTCTCTTTTTCATAACATCAAGTAAAGTTGAAATTGCCATTAATCTCGATCACTTTTCTCTGTTCATTTAACGCACGAACCAAATAACCTACGTACTAATGAACTCAATGACTCTCTTTCAAACAGTAGAACCAATTGTAAAATTCGCCCACTATCTAAATTCCCCTGATCGTTCACCCTCTATGATCGAGCAAGTCATCTCTGCTTATATGTGCACGGTCATTACGTTTGGACTGTTTATTATATTTGGAACCACCCGAGAATCATTGCGGACGCTGTTGGGAAGTTCTAACGTTTGCAATATTTTTCGTAATGGACGATATAACTCCCGAAAGAAAGTATCCATAGACACCATATCCAAAGATAGCCCAACTATCGTTTCAATCGACCCCACCATTCTTTTGGATTCTCCTCCAGCACATCCTCTACCAATACATTCTTCTCCACGTCAATCATATCACCAACCACTTAGTCAACATCTCTGTCCACTACAACTATCCAATTCGCTACAAACAATTCAACCACATCAAAACCTCCCTCCACCTCAATTTCCACCACCATCGGATTCTCTTCCTCATATTCCATCGCTTTCTACCCGTTTTGCCTTTTCTTTCTCTCTTGCACACAAATTTCCATATGCACACTACTGTATACAATCCACACGTCCTGATTCGCCGGGTAGCAATGAAGCTTTACCTATGCATACATTACCATCTCATTTGAGCCGAAATTCCATATTTGGACGATATTTGTTGGAAAAGGAAAGAAAAGAGAAAGAAGAAATGATGCACGATGTTTTTGGATGAAGATTATTGATATCCTGGTGATACATTGATAATTGAATGATGGTGGTAGTGCTTTTTTGATATGAAGCCGATCGTTGATAAAAGAATAGCAATATATACGCTGTTATGCAACATATCTACGAATAGAAACTTAAAAACATTAATAAATGACTTGTTTATTATCTGAAACGTGTTATTTACGTGTAAAGATACTAAGAAGTACAAATTTCTTGAATCGTACACAGTCTTATTATAGATGCATTCAAAACCTCTCCCACAGCATATTGACGTGATTATAAAGACACCAATCGGAAAATCTTGGCGTGTTTTTTTTATCGTACATAACGCCGTTGTTTGAAGAAAGTATAACCATATTTTTTGCACAAGGAGCTCCAAGTGTTTGGGAATGACTAATACGTTAGTATAGATAATAAAGTTTCACGGTGCGTATTACTTGACTTCCCAATTTCTAATACTAATAAATACCAATCTAAATTCAACATGTATCACCAGATCTAAACATGCCCCGGTTTGGTTAATATTAATTAAACGGATGTCGTGTTCATGTAACACAATTACAAGAGATGTAAACAATGGCGTTACTGCTTGACTGTAGCAAAAGTATATGTTTCAGATATATTTACTAGTCTTTATTCAAGTCGTGTGTATAATATTTGCTAATATGTCTATGTATGAGTAGAATACAGGCGAACGTGCATTATGATTATCAATGTCAATAAAAATGTGTTTTCGTCAAATTGACATGAACAATGTATTATTATTATTATTATCTTTCCTTCGCTTATCCGATCAGAACCAACTAGTTGATCAGAACCCATACAGCCTTTGCACACGGGGTACCATTGTTCAGGATGAATATGTAATGTAGGCCGGGTGGTAAGACGTAACTATTCGGAGGCATATATACTTTAGCAGTATAAGTATTTTGCCCTGATGACGCAGTATCGGTTAGTTGGAGACGAACGCTTCTCATCGACATTGCTTGAGAATGAGTGTGAAAACCAGTGTGCATTATGGTGGCTGTAATTGTACCAGGAGTTCCGGTAAGCGTATAGGTTATAGGAACGGCCTCATTGTATGTCACTTGTATGGGAGATGTATTGAGTGTCGTTTGACTCTTGAACGCAGTTATCTCTGGACGAGCGTTACCCGATAAATATGGTGGAGAGAATATTTCGGCACGGAACCTAATGGATAGATAGATGTATTTGGTAAATATATTGTAGGGTTGATGAAACAGTTTGAAAGAGCAAGATCGTTGTATTCACTGTACGGCAGAATATACATAGCAATGAACTATGAAAAATTTCTTTGCCCTCTAAACAAAATTTACTTACTCAGTCGGATATGGGCCACCTGGATTGTAATTGCTATTGGGGTTACTTCCAGCTATCCAGACAGTGCCATCAGGAATTAAGGTGGCAACCGAGTGATACATTCTTGGAATAGTGGATGGAGTAAGCTGAGTCCATCGCTGTTTCAACGGCATAGACATATCATAAAGAACTGGTGTTAATGCAGGGTTATCAGATAAGGTTTTCCCTCCTTCGATATATCCAGCTTGTCCAACTTGTCCTCCATTCATGAACAACACATGACCGTTAGGAAGGTGAACGACGTCAGGCATGACTCTAGGTATGCCACCGAAATCGTCAGCTTCCCATGTTGGGTCAGTAGAACCAAGGTCTGTTTTAACACATGTATTTTCAGCAGGATTAGTGAACTGGTTAAAAACACTTTGTCCTCCACATACAAGGAAGTAGGGATTGTAATTATTTTGATAGTCAAGCGGAAGCAGGGTCGCTGCGGCAGTGCACGGATATGAGCGAATACCACCGGGTGCGTCAGGGAGTGCTTTAACTGGTGCGTTGTTTGTAATGTCATATATGACTGAGGCTTTATTTGCAAAAACGAAATAGTAGCCTTGCCATACGCCGTCTGGAATCACGTGGATAAACGGATAAAGATTATAGGGAAGGCTGTTTTTGAAATGAAATAGAAAACAGTTTTAAAAGGTGTTTTTAAACAGATAAAACAACAAGATCATTTCATATGCAAACACGTATAATGCACTTACGTGTCGACCAAGAACTGTACTTGGAATGCTTTATTAGCTGAATTGGGACTATGTATCTCGAAAGTCGGGTTATTCTTGTTTGCAGAGTTGGCTCCGGTTGACTGGACAGCACCACCGAAATTGAGAATATCACCACTTGGCATAGTAACCATGGAATTATACCATCGAGCACTGCTTAGCAAGCTAGGGACTTCGATGATCTGACAGGTGCCATCTTGACATGGCTGAAAGTAACGAATACCACGGTAACCATCGCCCGCAGTGACAACCTTGCTTGGTTCACCACCGGCGGTCGAGAGGAATGTACCATTACCAAATATTGCTCCGGCTGAGCAGAAAGTGTTTGTGGATAACTTGAGCGGTCGGAATTTGTTTGTTGCGAGATTATATTCAGCGGCCCATGTTGTTGTGCCGTCAGGTAATACCGCGGCAGGGTTGTTCTCAGCTGTTAAGAGTTTAAAAAGTGACCGAGATATAGTTAGCACGAAGAGAAAATCAACACCACATATTTAAATTCATTACCTTTGTCAATGATGATTATTGTCGTTGGAGTTAGCAGCATTGAGTGCATGGCAGTGACCCCCGTCCTGTATTAGGAGAAAGAGTTAGCAATTCATGTTCTCTTTCGAAACCATTCAATTTACGTATACTCACATCCCGACGACATTATATTGAGCCTTAACACAGGCTACTGTGAAAATTGAAGCCAATATAAACAACGAAAGCAGGTTACGCCCCATTGTGGTAAATGGATAAAGATATTAAAAAGGAATGGTTTGCAAGTGTGTTGCCTCCGCTTCGTGAGATGGTGCAGACACGAGAGGATGAACCAGACCGTCAAGGTGTCCGTAAATTAACCCGTCTATATATATATTAAAGAAAGTATATTATATTCTAATGTGGAAGAGTGTTTCTATTTATATACAAGTCTGAAAATCCGCAGATCGTATTATTAACTTATATTTAGATGCCACACTCCTGAAAGCTTTAGAATCTATATTACAGTGTATTAATTGACTTGTCAAAAATAGGATTAGGATACTCGTAATGTAACACTGCGTACGTTACTCAAAATAAATTATTCGGTTAATAATAAAACGGTTATTATTAGCTAACAAGGATATGGTCACCAATGAAACATACAATCACAAGCATGTGCTACTAGAACTAGGTTGGAATGATTTTTTTTTGAATTTCCGTAATGGGCAAAGTCGGAATACTCTTTGTTTACCTCTATACAGGTTTTATCTCAAGTGCGGAACCGGAACAGCAATGTCATTTCCAAAATTCTATTGTCAAAGTTGGATCTCCATATTTTCTAGATGATATTATGCCATATTAGGATTGGGATCAGCAGTGTTAGTAAATAGTCCCTGAACCATCATTTTACGGAACAAAATGTTCCATGTTTTTTTATTGGTAGGTAAATTTATATATGAATCATACGGATAAACAGTTGTTGTACAACAGGGATCATACGATGGAAGAAATCGCCAGTTGAACGTATGATTCTTATCAGCAGAAAGTTTATATCAGAGTGTCAGGAGACGGAAATGTATCCCCGAATCTAAAAAAAAATCATCGAATCTAGTTTCATGGTTCGTACATTTGGGTTTGCGTAAAAACTTGTTCTTTCAAACACGTGTTTGCCCGTTTTGATCAAATACAAACAAAAAACTTTTTATAGAACAGCAGTTTGGCGAGACGTACATGCTAACAAGCTTGGAAATTAGTGGGCACCGCCTTTTAAAATTAGAATTACCGAGACTTAAAGACTTTATATTTACATATCAAAAAGGGCTGGAGGGTCATTTGTTGCAGCAAAAACTTATCTATCATACGTCGATCCATTACCATTTAGAAAATTCCTTTTCGAATATTTATTGCTGTGCGACGTTATCGTAGGCATCATTTATCCTAAAACAGGGCAATTGTTATCGAAAATACAACCAATATAAAGGCGATCTAGAGTAATCACTGTGCAATACAGGTAAAAACAGCTTTTCAAAGAATGTTAATAAAAGTCCTCGCAAGTTATTAATACAAACTGCTCACAAGATATCCGTAAATGAAATTTGTGATCTTTCGTTTCACAGCATTCTGAAAAAGGCAGTTTGTTAATAAAAGTAAATTAACAGGGACTCTTTAGTGATGATGAATTGATATTGCAAACAACTGCTGTTGTTACCAAGGTGACGAATTGTTTCATTGATTAAGCGTAAATAGTTAACTCGTATCAGTGCTTTGGCTGATTGTATGGCGTGCCATTACTATTAATAAATAAACCATACACACATATACATACATGTTGGCCCGGTAGATCGACCATTGTCTAGTTAGTTCATGGCAACGGAAACTGCGGCATGGGGAAACGCTCACCCGCATGGCAACGTAAACTGCCGCATTAACATTAACATTAATATTAATATTAAAACCACATCTTAAACTTAAGCCTGTGCGACTTTTAATATAATCGCTTGGCGTACAAACAAAATTTATCGTTAATTAGTTATTGCTATCTAATAACGACTTCAAGCACGAGAAAACCTTGGATTCCAAATTCTTGTTGGAGCAAATTTCTTAATATAGTGTTTGGCGCAACGTAACTCTACCAATACTTTGTTACCGAAATTCCATATTTGATTAGAATTCTATCGAAGAATATTCAAGAGTTTTAGTATTTACGAAACCATTTTGATTTAACGTTAATATGAAACTCAAGTTACATACATTTAACTTAATGCCAGTATTGATCATGTTACGAAACAATTGAAAAACCGTATTAAGGAACGAGAATTATTAGGAAATGAAAATCTACCACCAACAATAAATTACCGCATAAGCGTTTTGTATAAATAAGCAAAATGATTCAATATGAATTCCTTCAACTCTTTGGTTTCTAAGTCACACGTTTATTCAAAAAGCCTCTGTTTAGTATCTTACTTGATAGATTCAATCTTGTAGATATTTATGTCAAGAGATAATGTTTTTATTGAAAATAAACTCAAAAGCATGTGCTGGATGGACTGTACTAGCATTTATAAATGAATGCCAGTTTGAGCCAATGCCAATACCACAATAGCATCTTAACGTTAACGAATTTTTTGAATTAGTACAAGTGTTGAGAAAATGTTTGGGTTAAAAAAAACGGAATGCAACACACAAGATAAACTGAAGATAATTTGCTATAGAAATCACGACTGCAGATTTCTTGACATTGCTACTTATGTCATGCTGTAAGTTCTTGCTTTTGGGGAAACTCCCTCTAAGCTAAATTTTAGTTGTTCATACGATTTTCACCGATATAGGTGAAAAGATTATTTGTATAGAAAGCCGTTACACGTTACATATCAAAACTGACCTTACCTACTTAACCTTATATGCCAATAAAATTCTGAGAACTCTATTGTTATGCAAAATATCACAGTCAAATTGCACGATAACGAAGAGTCTCCGACACATTTGCATCAAACCGTTCTTTATGTAAGTCGCGTTGGTTTACAGCGAAAAATAATTAACCGGATACGGATATATAGAAACTGGATCTCTTGGAATAAATGGGACATTGGTTATAGGAGTAAAAGCCACCTCAAAAGACTGACATAAAGTATTTACATGGATGAATCCTGCACAAGAGGTAATGTATTTTAAGAGTGGATGTAAAAAAAAATTATGGACGTGTAATAAATCCAGTATGCGCGACACATACCAAGACACGCAGTAGCAGTCTGCTCCTTACGATTTTAAAAAGTAATTGTAGCCGAACTCTGGTTTTTCTTATTAGCGTGTTAACCATCATTGTAACATTCCTGATTCCAACAAGTTTGTCCGCTGTATCAAACAATTGACGAGGCAATCATAGTTACGGAAGACTTTGATAAAACTCGCCTAAAAATGGTTTTCGCGTTTACTTTATTGCTATGAACGATGGGGGAAATTAATGTTCTTAGTCGTCAGTTAACCGAGAATGTGTGATTAAACATGCACGAAAACTTTTCAACCGCTCTTATTATAAAAGGGACAAGTACCCTTTGAATCCATCTAGTACTTACCTTCACTGTACAGAGGGATTGTTGACTGCGTGATATTGGCAATTTTGACTCCCAGAATTGACAATGTTAGTACCGGGTTGGTCTTGTTATGCCATTTCATAGGACAGTAGATGCTTTCGATTTGTAGTTATCATGTAATGAACAATTATATTAAAATATTGCATTCGCTAGATTAGTAAATGCGTGCTTATTTAGCTGCTAAAGAGTAACGTACAATGTTCGTTCATTAACAGTATTGACTACTATAAATAATCTAGACATTTCCCTGCTTTAAATCGATGCTCATTTCAATACCTATCCCTTGCTACATACATAGACTACATTACATATTAAATACTTGATAGGAGATTGAATTTCGTCTCATGTGTTCCATCTTTCACTTTGATACCTTCTTCAACCGCAACTCTGTGAGGGTAATCAAACAGTCAATAAACAAGCACAAGTACATCTACACATCCACACCCTATTAAGTACTCTTACCCAGGTGTTTAGAATATTCATCTAACTCAGCAGTCACTTTCCCCAAATAGTCCACCTGTTCGCATATCTCGTCTATCTGTTGGATATAAGGATCAAAATCCACGTCTTGAAGTTTGATTAGAAAGAATGTTAGACCTAGCATATAGAAATGAAAAGAGCGATAGACAAATCTTTTGACACTTGCATATTTGTTGCAATTTTGACATTTCTACCATTAATTGCTGTGCCATTGCCGACATTTCTTTATATCTTTCTCGAGTAACATTATTCATGGTTTCTAATAGTTTATAGTCTTCCGTTGTAGCTATACAAATGTAAGCAAGCATTTATTGTTAAACCATGAATGTCGCACTCCATTTACAGCAGCCCATTAACTCACCCAACATCTCAGCCCTCAAGTATTCAGCCACCTTTCCAAACATCTCATCGGTAAGTTTGTTAACATCTCTATGGATCAATCTTGTGTTATCTTTGCCCTCATCTTTGTTCCCTGGCACTTCATCCTGCGTCGATCTATTAATCGGCGTTGTCGTATTGCGTTGAGAACGAGCAGGAGACGAAGAAGAAGATTGAGACGTAGAAGTGAGTGGAAGAACGGTCGAAGTTAGCGAAGATAGAGTGGATGTGAATGCTGATGTTGTCGTTGATATGGCTGATGTTGTCGTTGATATAGCTGACGTTATGGCACTTGTCGCAGACTTTGTTGATAGATGATCCGAAGATGAGGATCGATTTGGCGAGGACATTGAAGAATTAATCCTCTTTTGAAAGTGGGCACAAAAGAGGTCAAATCTTGTCCGTCACGGGATTCCAAAGTTCGGAAATTTCCCACGGTGATTGTAAATTGTATATTAAAAATGCACCGACATAGACAACGCATATTTTTGGTACCCCTCGACATTTATGGAAATCTAGCTTTGTATGCAAAGTATGATTTTGAAGAATTGCAGGTCGCTCGAAAAGAAACCCGCGTAATTAATACTGTATCTATGGTCAGGTTCCTATAGTTATTATGTTGAACTAAGAATGCTTGTGCAACGATCTTAATAGCTCGACCAAATTATTTATTGATGTGTCGATTCTGTACTAATACTGAAATACTGACAGGAAGCAAATAACTAAATTTAGTAATGACGATATAACGCAAACGACCCACATTGAAAGAGAATTGACAGAATTACAGTCGAAGAGTATCTCCTCTGTTGGGTTTATCGACGAATAGATATAGAGTAACGTATACGTAATGGCAATGACAATTTAGATAATTTAAATGCACGTTGAATAGGCTGACTTTTTATATGCTACATGGTTTATTGTTTTATATATCTGTTATATTACATTAATAAGTTTGATAATTTTTTTTCTATTTCGTTATATTAATTAATAATAATATTATTATTACAATAGTTGACATTAGTATTACATGCATTATATTGTAACATAATGGGTAGATAAATAATTGCATACCAAGTAGCAAACTCACCATTCGCCTCTAACTAGCTTCAGGGATAGATCCTTCACAATTACCGAATCGATCGATTCTTCAAACTTGCCCCCATAACTCCACTATGTGTCCCGTTGGGTTCGTTCACCAGCAAACCCATCAGGGAGAGAAAAAAAATTGCTTGTACAAATGTGCATGAGTTTGAAACAAAAAGGAGTGTAGGATGCAAAGACCTGTGAGATGGTTTATTTTCATTTCAACTTTAATATAGAAAAAAAGGAGAAGATATCCACGTTAGAATGGGGTGTTTATTTCTGGCTTTCAGACAAATTGGCCAACAAGTTAATGGGGTACACTAATATAAAGGTTGTAAGATTCGATCTTCTGTATGATATAAAACTACCCCGCTTTAGTCTAGCCCCATATTGATAGTAATATAGGAAAATGCAAATTGCATGTAAACACATTATTGCATTGGTTGTGTCACAACACAATGTCACACACTTCTACTTCAGTAGAGACAATAAAAGTTTCTCGCGATGTTGTTTCCCTTATCCCCAAAATTAGGTATATTTCGCCCTTCTCACAATAACGACCGTCTTAAATTGGCCTCTATTCTCTTTCTCTACGTGCATAAAAATATTAATAGACAAAAACAGTTTAAACTGGGCTTTAGCGAGCACCTCGTTGTGAATAAACGTTCCGCGCGATAATAGTTCTTTGTTCACGTTTGCATTGCACCATGCATTGGATAAATTTATTAAAGTAAAGCAGAGTTCATTGTTTGACCAATAATGTTAATTAGTTAATTTATCAGTGAAACGATTAAATGGCCAGATATTCTTCGGGCTAGCATGATGGAAAGTTCTACGCTTCAAATGGTTATATCATACGTGCAGTATGTTGAAAACAGTTTGTGTCCTTCCTGTACATAAAATTGATCAGATATACAAACGGGGAAATAAATGTATTTAATTTATACCCTATCCTTAATCTATTTATAAGTTACCTCAACCAGCGTAGTCAAGAGATTTTAGCCACCCCTGACAACTTTACATAGATATCTACTTGTCTGTTTTAATAGTGTATATATATTTACAACCTTTTTTCCTTTTTACAAATTTTATAATGGACCTTGGTGACATTCACGGAGGTACTCTACTCAAGAGTGGCATTAAACTTGGTCTCAATGTGTATATGGATTATAAGGCCAAGAAAACATGCGAGCGGGTCCTGACTGTTCAATTTCGAAAGCTCATGGCTCAGGGTTACCTTTCCGTTATTGGTGACAACGGTTTTCAACTTACCGACAACGCTCTTGCGGAAAAAATCGGGTTGACGGCTTATCCAGATGTGCAAGCGTTTCTGCGAATTATGAACTTTAATGTAGAAGAAGTTGCCGCAGTAGCAGAAACACGCGTGCAGATCTGGTTGAATAAAAAATACCAACCGTGGGATAAGAGGATTGGAAATGCATGGCCAAAGGGTGCTAATATAGCCAAGTTTATGAGAAAAAGAGCTTCCGATGCGTTGAATTTGTGGTAGGTGTCTTGTTTCTTAGGCTCACCTTTGAAGAATTGGTTTATTTTAACCATCCGTTTATTCTACATAGGTACGCCCCAAATTCCTTTGGTGCAAGGCAATCATTTGGCCAATCAATGTCATATCTAGTTAACGCCGAGGCGCTAGAAGGCGACGATCCCAATGCGAAGAATAATGCAATGGTTATTGTGACTCGCATTATAGGTCTTGCACAGATGTGTGGAATTTCAGAGATCGGTTTGGTAGACATTATAGAAGGCTTGTCGATGTCATGTTTATTCGAGACGATTGCGCGCGCTCTCGTAGCTGGGTTGCGTGGGCGGCATCCATCAGAAGTATTCAATATCGGTCTTGGCGTGCGAGGAAGCTCAGAAAATGTGCACAAAAATTTCGCAATGGTAGCAAATGGATTCAAAGGACCACGAGAAGTTATTGGAAAATACACAGGTGGTAGGGTAGTATTAAATTTAATTGTCGCCGAGGTAGTCGTGAGAGATCGGTTAAATGAGGGAGAAGAAATTTGGTGTATGAGCGGATGGGCGGAAACATTGAGGAGGCGCACAGCTAAATTAAAAGAAAATGTCGCAACGGACATTCATGGCAACCAGTTACGACGTATGAAATGGTTTAAAGTAACTTTAAGTATTAAGAGGGTCAATGGCGTGCCGTTGGCAAAAATTAAACAGGTAGTGTACTGTACGTTACTTATTACATAAATGAGACACTGTGTGCCAGCCTGACTAAAATCTATCTATATATTAGATTGGAACCCTTCCAGTTCGTGACAGACTCTGGGGCAGCATTACGGGTACCGCATGTCCGTGCACCAGTCCAGATCCGCGCAAAAAACTCAAAAACGGAAGCCGTGTGGGAAAAGTGAAGCTCAATTTTAAAAGTCTTGACTCAAATAACTTTGTAAAGCCGAAGCCTATTCCTAAACAGTCCGTTCGTGTGTATGAAACGTACGGAGATGCTGTTGTGCATCTATTTCTTTCACACTACTTATTAAGTGCGTATGTCAGAGCAGACAGAGAATGTGTGTATTGCGCAGTTTGCAGGGCCGTGGGGACTGGATGTAATGTGATCTTATTGTAAATTAAGTTTACACGGGTAGTTCATACCTCCTGAGCAATCTGTTCCTGATTAGTATATATATGCTGACAGACAACTACAAATATCAAAATTATGCTCATATCGGAATGGAGAAGCGTTAACCTAGTAGTTGTATCGGAAATAAATAAAATAAAGAACTTTGCTATGGAACATGAATAACAAATGCAAATGGTTCAGACTTTATAATCGCACATTACAAATGTTTAAGAAAAATTCGTGGAGAGAAATGCGTAAAATGAGCTTTTCTGATAGTTTTTGCAAGCGAAACCTTAAATCAAACAAACGCAGAGATAATGATTTTTCATTCTAGTCAAGTCAATTACAACGAACTGCCAACCTTGTAAATTCTTATCGATTACATCAACACCGTGATGTCATTTTCTTGTATAATACTACCAGCTTGTTATACAGTACGTATCCAAAACAAGCATAGTTCTAAAACTGAATTGAGAAAAACTGCTTTTCAAAGTCACATGGAACCTGGTGGTTGAAAGTATATGCATAGTCAATCTGTTACAATAAATTGCTACTATCGGGTAAATTGTCTGGTTATAATGAATTTATTAAAAAATCTGATTATAAGGCCTATAACGGATAAGAACAGTAATTGTCATAACGAAGATCTTCGTTATACAGTGTGCGAAAAAATGGCGCACAAATAAAGTTGCATATCTCAACAATTACCCAACTGAGACAAATAAAAGTATACTTATTTTAAAGCTTATAAACTACTTTATTGAATGTAAAAATTTCATACGAAATTCTGTCCCCGAACTAATTAAATTTCACGAGGAACGGGGAAAGGTCTTTTTTTTTGTAAGACTAGTTCACAACGATTTTTCATAGCTCCCGATTAAATTTTGTACATCCTGAGGAATTTTATCACCATAAATTGCTTTAACTCACCAACATTCTTTTTTCTAACAATCTGCCACATACTTTCGATGGAATTCAGATCAGGGCTGTTAGATGGCCACTCCATTACATAGAGGTTGTTTGGGATAAAAAATCCTTTGCAACACGTGAAGTTTGCTTAGGATCATTATTTTGTTGCAGACGCCATCTTCTGCCATACAACTGTTGGCCAAACGGAAGAAGCTGGGTTTGCAAAATATTTACCATTAATTATGTCTGTAAAGCAAAACAAGGACGTTTTACCATTCACGCGCCATTTTTTTCGCAACACACTGTAAATCGAAAATTCAGCATTAAATCGACAAAGTGTTGGAAAAAGACAATATTATAGCCAACGAATCTCGACGATGAAACAAAATGCAATGATCAAAAAATGGTTAACTGCATTCTTGGAAACAACACGGAAGGAGATACTTATCAATCATTATCAAGCATGAGTATTTGACGATGGGATATGAGCCACTTACTATATTTTTTCTGACACGGATTTTTAACATAAAGTAAATTTCTGTCATCACCACCTGATTATCACCTGATTAAATTTTCTGGGGCAAACATTTTTCATTGGTTAATAAAAGCATACTTTTTTCTTTTTTGAAAATAAGACTAACCTCATTAGTTAAGTTAGTTCAACAAATTCATATTGAGTGTCTTTATAAGTTCACTGACTATTTTGGGAGAACTCCTAAACTCTACCAAAAAATTAATGCATTAAAACATAGAAATAGAAAGGCAGTTGACCTTAAGTAACGAGGTGTTTGAAAGAAAATTTTGAAGAGCAAGCCAAACACTTTAAAAAAATTATCAGAAATTTTACAAAAACATTATGAATATTTCATCTCAATGATAAACTTTTTTCTGCTATAGACACTGAAAAAAAAACGAAAATTGACTTCAAGAATTAATATTAGTTCTGAACTTGCAAAATCGTTGAATGAAGGCACCTACCAATCGACAGTCATTTTATTATCAATTCAGGTGGTATTAAAAAATCTTCCTTTTAGATTGTCTTCATTTATCAGTACATCAGAACGGCAAAGTATTGCTAGCGCCGATAGAAAGGGTAAAGGACAGATGGGGAGGCGACCAGATATCATGTTTGTATTAAAATATTTAGAGGTCTTCTTTGAGCTTCTATATGTAGAATGTTCACGATTATACTGCACTCAGCAGAAAAAGGTAGATAATGAGGTAAAGTTATGGCGCGAGACAAATGATGGTATGTATTATGTTTGCAAAGTTCTTAAACCAGACAAAGATCAATTTGGAGTAGTTGGAGTGCAAGTAGCGGAAAATATGTTACATCTGAACATTCTTGTCAGAAATAGAGCTAATGTGCATCAATATTACCATTTACAATCTGCTGAAATTCCTGTACAATTATCTGATGCAAAAGTCGTAGCTAATTTATAGAAACCCTTTTACGTTTACGTAACCTATTAATTATAAATGTATCCCTGCTATATCATGCATCTATCTCCACATCGCAAAGACAAATGGAAGATAGTACTACAGTTTCCACCCCACGAGATGATTAGACTTCGCTATATGTACTTTTTTCTATTTTATATTGCTGTATTGATCACAATAAAGATAGCCCCGGTGGTTCAACTATCATACTTTATTATTACGCATATCGTCAAGTTTATCGAAAAATTACAATGATGTGTATAATGGTTTTTGATTGGACGATCGACATATATACACTCCTACCAATCAAAGTATACG